GATTAAGTATGTCTTCTTCATAACACTTACTATGAACATTTATCTCCTAATCATGAAATTCACTTGTTTATAAATATCAGAATGAGAAAAGACAGTGTTTGTCCATTATACACAGTATTTAATGAATACTTTATAATCAATGATACCTTTTTCAGCTCTTCTTTGGAGAACTTTTCGTAAGGGTTATGTTCCAGATAGGCAATGTGCTCTGAATTATTAGTACCAAATCCTACAGTTTTTCCTTTTTTATTTCCAGATGGTTCATAAGGGTGATGTAGAAGGTCATAATGAAGCATTGTGATCATTTCTTTTTTGATTAGTTCTTCACTTTTTTGTAAATCTGTTAGAGGTGGTTCTACATTTAAGGGTCTTAGAATAGTTTCATTTACCTAAAATTTTAAGACAAGTACAATTACCAAACATTATCACTCCAATGCTGATGTTATTACTTGTTCTAGCATGAATTAAATAGTAGTTTTACATTTTCAAAAGAATTTTGCTTTCCTTCTAAGGTCTTATTTGTACCAGCAAAACATTTTACATTATATCTGGGAAGTGCTTTACTATATTCCAGAAAGAATATAATATTTTGTTTCACAAACTTTATGAATGATATAAAAGCATCAATCACATAAGAAGAAACTCAAAACTTCCTAAGCCAGAAATTCTAATACTTACTTCTGATGGTCTTGGCAGATCTTTCTGGACAGCTTTGTGCATTCGCTTCATTTCCTTTACACGCTCTGCCTCTCGTATAGCCTAAAAAAATTATTTTTATATCCATTATTACAGCTATATGGTATTTGCCACATTTCAATAAAGTTGAAAACATGTATAAGAACATGTACGTTCAAGAGTTAAAGCTGTCGAAGTCTGTGTAAGTTTGTAGAAAGGTAATATAAGGCAACAGAAATCAGTCTATTCATTCTCTCATTACAATACAAACTAAGAACTGCCAACAGCTACTAGAGCATTCTCCAAGTTTATGTGGCTCCATCCATCAGATAATCATTCTTTTCTTGTTTAATTTGGAATTCTAATAAAAATCCTAGAAGAGAGCATAGGCAGGAATGTCCCTGACACCAGCTGTAGCAACATTTTTCTAGATATGTCTCCAGAGGCAAGGGATATAAAAGCAAAAATAAACTATGGGAATTACATCAAAATAAAAAGCACAATGAAGAAAATAATCAACAAAAGACAACCTGTTGAATGAGAAAAGATATTTGTATACAACATATCCAAGAAAAGGTTAGTATCCAAAATATATAAAGAACTTATACATCCCAACACGAGAAAACAAATACTCAGTTACAAAGTGGGCAAAAGACATGAACAGACACTTCTCCAAGAAGACATCAAGATGGCTAATGGACACATGAAAAGATGCTCAACATCTCTCATCATCAGGGAAATACAAATCAAAACTACAATGAGATATCACTTCATACCTCTCAGAATGGCTAAAATCAAAAACACAAGAAAGAACAATTGGCGAGGATGTGAAGAAAAAGGAACGCTTGAGCACCGGTGGTGGGCATGCAAACTGGTACAGTCACTGAGAAAAACAGTATGGAGGTTCCTCAAAAAGTTAAAAATAGAACTACCCTACAATCCAGAATCACATTATGGGGCATTTGCCCAAAAAATACAAAAACACTAATTCAAAGGGACATGCACCTTTATGTTTAGAGCAACATGATTTACAAGAGCCAAACTACAGAAGCAGCCCAAATGTCAATGGATTGATGAATGGATAAAGAAGTTGTGGTGTGTATATGTGCGTGTATGTATATACCTATAAAGATAATGAAGATGTAATACATACACACACACACACACATATATATATATATATATAACATGGAATATTACTCCACCATGAAAAGGAATGAAATCTTGCCATTTGCAACGACATGGACGGAGCTAGAGAGTGCAATGCTAAGTGAAATAGTCAGAGAAAGACAAATACCATAAAATTTCACTCATATGTAGAATGTAAGAAACAAAACAAACCAGCAAAAGAAAAAAAAAGAGACAAACCAAGAAACAGACTCTTAACTATAGAGAACTGATGGTTACCGCAGAGGAGGGGGGTGGGGGGGAGGGGTGAAATAGGTGATGGGGATTAAAGAATGTACTAGTCGTGATGAGTACTGGGTGAGGTATGGAATTGTTGAAACACTATACTGTACACCTGAAACTAATATCACATTGTATATTAACTAAATTGGAATTAAAATAAAATTTAAAAATTTAAATAATCAATTGGAATCCTAAACTTAGAGGGGACTCTTATTTGTTCCTCCTGCAACACAGCCCTCACTTCCACCCCAAAAGCTACTGATTTTTAATTTAAAAAACTAGCCAATGTGTTGTTTCCTGATTCTTAAATCACAAATAATGTAAGTTAACATATTAGAATTTCAAGGCATTTCTGAGAGTAAATGTAGGGCAAAGTAACTAAGAAAACTAAACATAAAAAGTAATATCCTGGGGGCACGTGGGTGGTTCAGTGTGTTAAGTATCCAACTCTTGATTTCACTTCAGGTCATGATCTCATGGTTCATGAGTTCAAGCCCTGCACTGGGCTCTGTGCTCACAGTGCGGAGCTTGCTTTGAGGTTCTCTCTCCCCATGTCTCTCTCTCTGTCTCAAAATAAATTATCTTAAAAAATAAAGTATTATCCTGTACTACCAACTAAAAAGCACATTCAGGGGCGCCTGGGTGGCTCAGTCAGTTAAGCGTCCGACTTCAGCTCAGGTCATAATCTCATGGTCCGTGAGTTCAAGCCCCGCGTCGGGCTCTGTGCTGACAGCTCAGAGCCTGGAGCCTGCTTCGGATTCTGTGTCTCCCTCTGTCTCTGACCCCTCCCCTGTTCATGCTCTGTCTCTCTGTCTCAAAAATAAATAAACATTAAAAAAAATTTAAAAATAAATAAATAAAAATAAAAAGCACATTCATGTTGACTTCTCTCTGAAATACGTTTACATTGATGCTATTCACACTCGAGTCCCATGAAATTCCATTTCTAAAATTATCCTAGGAGTGCCTGGGTAGCTCAGTCAATTAAGCACCCGACTCCTGATTTTGGCTCAGGTCACGATCTCACAGTTCACGAGACTGAATCCTAATTTGGGCTCTGTGCACTGAACATGCACTTGTTTTTAAGACTGATCAATAACACCTTTTCTTGGCTAGAGTGAAAAGCAATGTCTAAAAGAACATTTATGTGTATTTTAAAGAAGCATAATAAATTTGACAGGAGGTATTTAAATTATGTACATACACATATACATACACACATTTTAAGACTGCCTATCAAGATATTCTTGTATATTATTAATTACATGAGTAAATATTATTAACTATGTTAAGCAATTTAGGGTAATTTCTTTTTTTAGATATTGAAAAAACTTTTAAATATGGACACATTTAATGACCATTCTTCATTCTTTCAGCCTACAGACACAGTCAGCGACTTCACACTTCTTTTCTAGCACAATTACCCACCTGCTTTCGTGCATCCACATCAGCAGCATCTTCAATGTAAGTATCATCTATTTCACGGTCTTCCAGCTCCTTCTCAGCATTTTCTGGCAGAACAATCTCAAAGTCATTCTTAGGGGCAGGGAGGCCCAACAATCCTAAACGGAGATGCTCACGAGATTCTCTTTCCTGTAGAAAAAAAATTGATCTTCTCAATTCATACATCTTAAGTATTCAACCTCCATTCTTAAGAGTTTCTAAAAAATAATTAGCCTAATTTTAATTCTAGAAAAATGACCCTAATTTCAGAGCTGAGACAAGTTTGTTTGATTTCTATCTCAGTTTCTTCTCTAAATTAAGATCAAAAACTCTGATTTGTGATCTGTAAAGTTACTCTCGGATATTCTAATAGAAGGTTTGGGAATTATCTCTGCAGGGCAGAAAAAAATCCTTTAGAATTTCCATTTAAGGAATACATTTCTGACCATGAAATTTAACCCCACATTGAGGGTACAATTTACTTAAAAACAAATTAATTAATTAAAAAAAGAAAAAGAAAGGAAGAAATGACTAGATCATATGATGACCAAAGAATACAGTCCACACTTCCCAAAAGAAATTGCCTGGTACCCAAAGTTTTCCCCAGTACATCCTTGGCTTACCTTTTATTCCCCATAGCTCCATTACATGTATGGTAGGTGTGAGGCCCAACCAGATGACCTGCTATGTCCAAAATACACTCCATGCTTACTCATTTTGTGGCCTCTATCTGAGACAGCCCCCACCTCTCCTTCTGAGCATACCTCAACGAAGGTTTTCCTAGTACCCACCCAACAAATGTGATTATTTCCGTCTTTGGCCCCCCCAAGCATGTTGGTTTTACACAGAAAGCTTATTTTGTTCTTACGTTACAATTATTTGTGGACTTGGTTTAGCATTGTCAATCTCTCCAGAGTATAAACTTCCTTAAGACAAAGGACATCTTTACTCAACTTTAGATCCTCTGAAGTCTCCAAATCAGCGCTCTGCACACATTAAATTCATTTGTTTAGCTATTATGTAGCCATTCACAGTTGACATTACTTGATATCAAGCTGGGCATTAAAAAAATTCTAAACTCGGGATGCCTGGGTGGCTCAGTCAGTTAAGCGTCCAACTTCAGCTCAGGTCATGATCTCATGGTTCGTGAGTTCAAGCCAGCGTCAGGCTCTGTGCAGACAGCTCAGAGCCTGGAGCTTACTTTGGATTCTGTGTCTCCCTCTCTCTCTACCCTCCCCAGCCTGCGCTCTCTCTCTCTCTCTCTCTCTCTCTCTCTCTCTCTCTCTCTCTCAAAAATAAACAGTAAAAAAAAACACTCTTTTTAATAAAAAATTCTAAACTAACCAAATCTATACACCAGGTTAGAATTAATTTGTAAACTAAAAACAGGTATCACTGGAACTCATTAAAAAAAAAACAAAAAAACTCACAATGCTTTTCTGTGGCATCATATAAGACCCAAGAGTGACATAAGAAAAGCAATAACATGGGCAGAAACAAAACTGTGGCTTTTATGATTAGCTGTCTGTATCAGCTTGCAAAATATACAAAAGAAAACTTCACTAAGATAAGCAATAAACATCAACTTAATTTGGCTTTGAGATCTAGATAGTTCTTCTAAAAGTCTAGAGCAAACAAGAATCAAGGCTCAAAATCTAATTTATGAGGCATTCCAAACTCACAATTTGTTTTACAGAAGTTAAAGAAAAAAAGAGTGCCATTCAAGAAAGTAAACTATTAATTAGTAAATGATAAAAAATAAAATCATATGACATACAAGGAGAACTACTATCAGCATAATCAGTATTCACAAACACATTAAAAATTAGTCAGCTTAGGGGCACCTGAGTGGCCCAGTCAGTTGAGCGTCCGACTTCAGCTCAGGTCATGATCTTATGGTTCATGGGTTCGAGCCCCACGTCAGGCTCTGTGCTGACAGCTCAGAGCCTGGAGCCTACTTTGGATTCAGTATCTCCCTCTCTCTCTGCCCCTCCCTTACTCACATGCTCCCTCTCTCTCTGTCAAAAATAAATAAATATTTTTTTTTAATTAAAAAAAAAAAAAAAAAAAAAAGAGTAAGTAGGCTTAGGAGACCAAAAGGTTCTCCTTCTCAAGTTCTATAAATCATTTTCCTTTTCTGGAATCCATAGGTGTACAGTTATCTTAAAGTATATGTAATATGCACCAACAAGGGAAAATATTTTAATACAACGTCCATGAGATAGAACAGTTTAAAAAAAAAAAAAGAATATTAAAGGGATTTGACATGTACCATCTGCTTCACATAAGAGGGATCACTGTAGTCTGCCATTCCATCCTCGGGATTAATGTTTAACTTGTCTCGAAGAGGAGTTCTACCCGGGGTGGAGTTAATAACTGGTTTGGGAGTTGTCCCACTGCGGGGAGTCAACCCTTCAGATCCATGAGAAGGAGTCCTAGAAAGACAGAAATTCCAATTAATAGAAGTGCCAATTTTATCTGGATTGTGCTTCCAAATATTTTTCACATAAATTATTTTACAAAGAAAGCATGAAAGAAACTAAGATTGCAGAATATCTGTCTTCCTACCTGGTTTTAAGTGAGATCTCTACGTTGGAGTACAAGTTTAGTTCAACTAGCTTAGTATTTACACGCAGTATTTTTATTTTAATGACTTCAAGTAAAGTTATTACATTTGACATTTTCTTGCCTTGCTAAACTAGGCCCACCAAACATTATTTCAACCTTTTCTTGATGCATTGTGGGATGGCTAAGAACATACCATGGGCAGAGGGCAGCCATAATGCTCAAAGACCCCTAGGAAATTGTTTATAAGTTCACAATAGTGTCTTCATCTTATCATTTGCCCCTCACCACCAGTAGCTGCTGGCTAGAACACCACTATCATAGGTATGCATTCACTTCAGCGGTTCCTCCTTTACGTTCTGTTTGGAAACTGAATACCATGTCTACATATGAACAGTTCTGAGTGAGGGCTGAGACTCTCTTAGCAATAAATAAAATCCACAGACTTTGCCACTGATATCTTAGTTGTTCAAAGCCTGTTTTTGGTTGGTTGGTTGGTTGACTGGGTGCTTACTTCCTATACCTTAGCTCTGTTCCAGACAAGTGATCTGCCAGGCAGATGTTCCCAAAGGTGAGATGAGGTGTTATCAAAAGACAGGGTCCCTGCCCCCAAGGAGCTTACAATCTAGTTGAGAGACAAGACATACACAGGGAAAGAAGGATTAGGCTCTCTTATAAGCCCTGCAAAAGTGTTAAGTTGTATATTAGGATTTGGCTGCCAATGCTTCTTGATCCTGCTGTCAGGCACAGTTGTAACAGTTTGAGACACTCCCATACTAAATAACCAGTACAAGGATATATCCTAACACTGAAAATTAAAAACGAACCTAAAAGATTTCCAAACTTAAAAGCTCAAATTTCATTTTAATATGACCTGCTTCTACAAGGTTTCTATCTAAAAAAATTCCTCTTAAAAAATAGTAACTTAAAAAAAAATCATAAACAAAGACTGAACTCTGGACTCTAGTTAATGATAAGCACAAGAAAGTATTAGAAGTGAAACGGACTGAAACCTGCAACTTATTTTGAAAAGCACTAAATAATTAGATGGACTGACAGATGGATGGATATGTGAAAAGCAAATACGGTAAAATGTTAACAACTGTAGAATCTAGATGGTGAAATATGGATGTTTGCTTTCCCATTCTTTTAACCTCTCTGAATGTTAGAAATTTTCAAAATAAAATGTTGGGATATGGGGCATCTGGGTGGCTTAATCGGTTAAGCATCTGACTCTTGTTTTCAGTTCAGGTCATGATCTCACAGTCATGAGCTCAAGCCCCACAAAGGGCATGGAGCCTGCTTAAGATTCTCTCTCCCTCTCTCTCTCTGCCCCTCTCCCGCTTGCTATCTCTTTCTCAAAAAAAAAAAAAAAAAAAAAATGTTGGGAGAAAAGCAATAGTAACTAACACATACAGATAAAGGACTACAATTTTTATAAAATTCAACAAATGATCAAACGAACAATGGACTGATTTGTTCTTTTAAAGCAGATAAAATGGGGGTGCCTGGTGGTTCAGTTGGTTAAGCATCTGACTTCGGCTCAGGTCACAACCCTGCAGTTCATGAATTCCAGCCGCATGTTGGGCTTTGTGCTGACAGCTCAGAGCTTGGAGCCTGTTTCAGATTCTTTTTTTTTTTTTAATTAAAAAAAAATTTTTTTAAGTCAATAAATCAGATAAAATGTATTCAGAAAAAAGGTGATAGCATCAGAAACTCTGAAAAAAGAAGACAGTTCCATACAGTAATAACCAACTCCTGGGTATTATTATGTTATTTACTACCATGAGTGAGAACAAATCAAAAAGCCATGTTAAATACTTATTTCCATTCTCTGTCAACATTACTAAAACAAACATGTTGTCTAAATCCTTGAAGTTTTTCTAAAACAATAAAGATGTATTCGTTTACAATACCTGAATGGGGTAGAAAGAACTGTGTTTGGAGTCTGTACAACCTGCCGCTGTGGAGTCACACCTGAGAAGTCGCTCTCATGCAAAGGGGTATTAAGTCCACCTTTCAATGGGGTGTCCACATTAGTCAGGGCCATGAGGTTCTGAGCTTCCTGATAAACAAGAAGGTAAAGAAGTGTGTTTTAACAGTTCAGCCAGAATAGCCGAATATATAAACCTACTATATAAACCTACTATATAAACCTCAAAGGAGACAGAATTCTTATACATTTTCTTAATGAACACCAACAGATAAAATGAACTCGCCATGACAGAATTGAGTACTTCCATTCCTCTGTCAACCTAACACAGCAGATCAGAAGTTTTGGAATAAAGTTTTAAATATCAAAAAATGTTTTAAAATGAAAGTATCATGACTCAAAAGCTTCTATTACCTGTGCCAAATCTCTTTACAATCATAAAGAACTAAAAATGGAAATTTCCCAACGTGAACTTAGGCTAAATGTCAGAATACCCAGATTTTAGTCTGGCTTTATCACGAACTCTCTCCAGTGTTCATTAGCCCCTCTGACTCTCAAGTTTCCTCTACTGGGAAGTTAAGGTACCTCTAACTGGCCAGTCCAATCCACTTCCTGAGAAAACTCATGAAGGCAAATTCCTTTCGGAAGTCTTGTCCTCTTTAGGCAGGCCTGCCAATGTTCTGAAGTCTTTAGTCCCTCTGCCACAACCCTGCAGCACTTACTACTATCACTGCACCCACAATCTCCTAATCCCCAACTCCGGGCCTGTGAAAGACTACATCTTCCAAGATAATGACAGCCATATCTCTCATCTTATGTGCTCTTCTTAGAATCCAACCTTGATACTCCTCCCATCATGAAGTGGAAGTCTATGTCCCCTCCTTTTGAATCCAGGTGGCCTTGTGAATTACCTGTAACTAACAGAATGCAGGAAAAGTGACACAGCTTGACTTCCAAGGCAGGGTGAGCAAACATACAGCTTCCTACCACACTCTTTACAACACCCCTAATGGAGCCTTGAGACACCATGAGAGAAGTTTAACTGTCCTGAGGCCACAGGCTGAAAGAAAGCGCAAGCTTTGGAGAGGCCACATGCAGATGCATTCCCCATTCTCAGGTGAGGACCCAACCCACAGCCAGCATCAACCACCAGTCATGGAAAGAAGATGATTCAAGTCCCTATGTGTCAAGACACCCCCCAGTGCTGAGTCTTCTTAGCTGAGGCCCTTGACATCATGGAGCAGAGACAAGCCATTCTTCCTGTGCCCGGTCCAAATTCCTGACCAAGAGAGACCATTAGCATCAATGACATGTTTTAAGCCAGTAAGTTTTGGGGCAAAATGAAGATAACCAAGGGCACGTGGATGGCTCAGTTGGTTGAGTGTCCCTTGACTTCAGCTCAGGTCATGATCCTAGGATCATGGGATTGAGCCCCACATTAGGCTCTGTGCTGAGCATGGAGCCTGTTTAAGATTCTCCCTCTTTCTCTCCCTCTGCCACTCTCCCCCACCCACTTGTGCACACACTCTCTCTAAAAAAAAAATAAATAAAAATTTAAAAAATAAATGAGGATAACCAGAATAAGGCTTATTCCATTATCCATTACTCTGTTCTTAATTCATGGAAAGAACCTTGAATTTCATACTACCAAAGTCCTGTGTGTGTTCTTTTTGCTAGTCCAAATACAAAACACTTTCCCCAACTAGGCTCCTAAAAGTCTGGCCAGCTTTATACCTTTGGGCAGAAAATTGGAAGCTACTTTTCTCAAGAATCTGACTAACCCAAAAGATGTAGAATACTGACATGAAGAATTTGCCAAAGAAACCCAGCAGACAGTTCAGCCTACAGGGAAGCCTGGAGTTGAGGAGCCTTACCCACACCTAGAGAGCTTCTAGTCTACTTTTAACTGCCCTGCCCTTAACCCCTAGATACAGGCAGAGAGCCAAAGATCAAAAGATATTTGAGGAAACATCCAATATGAAAAAGAGAGAACAAAAGAAACTTAAATACCATACAGGGAAAAGAAAACATAAAAATAAAACAAAACCATCATTAACAGCTTCAGAGAAATAAGACAAAATATTCACTAAATGAAACATTTAAAAACTGAATACATTTTTTTAAAGAGCTCTTAGAAATTAAAAATGTGATTGTAGAAATTTAAAAACCGAAAAATGATAGGGGCGCCTGGGTGGCGCAGTCGGTTAAGCATCCGACTTCAGCCAGGTCACGATCTCGCGGTCCGTGAGTTCGAGCCCCGCGTCGGGCTCTAGGCTGGTGGCTTGGAGCCTGGAGCCTGTTTCTGATTCTGTGTCTCCCTCTGTCTCTGCCCCTCCCCCGTTCATGCTCTGTCTCTCTCTGTCCCAAAAATAAATAAAAACGTTGAAAAAAAAAAAAACCGAAAAATGATAAAATTCACAGAAAATCTCCTAGCAAGAAGTCAAAAGGTCAATTAAAACAGAAAACCAGAGAGGAATAAATAAGAAAATTCTTATTTTATTTCATAAGAGAAATAGACCAATGAAAGGGAGGAAACAAAATTTTCAAAATAACATCCTAGAACTGAAGGCCAGGAATCTCCAGAATGAAAAGATCACTAAGTTCCTAGTGAGTGATTGAAAACAGACCCACACCAAGAACTATGCATGTGAAAAAGAGATCATATTAGCTTCTAGAGAAAGGAAAAAACGGATTTGCTAAATGGCAGAGATCTCAATAGCTATAATAGAAGCCAGAAGACACTGGAGCACTGCCTTCAAAACTGTAAACAAAAACCATTTCAATCTGGGAGCACCTGGCTGGGTCAGCCAGTGGAGCATGCAACTCTTAATCTCAGGGTCATGAGTTCAAGCTCCACGTTGGGTGTAGAGTTTAAAAGACAAAAAAAAAAAAAAAAAAAAAAAAAAAAGATTTCAATCTGGAATTCTATACCCAGTTATACTATAGATAGACCAATAATTCACAGCTATGCAAGGTCTTAAAAATTCTATCTGCCATGAACCCTTCCTCAGAAAGTTATTGAAGGAACTTCCATAGCTTCAGTAACCTTTCACTAACAGACATAAACCAAAAAAACCAAAGACATGGGAGCCAGGAAAGAGGTGATCCAAGAGACTTTCTAGGGTGCCAGTAACAGGAAATCAAGAGAACAAGCTGTAAACAAGATCTAATCGTCCAGGGGTATTTGGGTGGCTCAGCTAGTTAAGCACCGACTTCAGCTCAGGTCATGATCTCATGGTTTGTGGGTTTAAGCCCCAAGTCAGGCTTTGTGCTGACAGCTGGGAGCCTGAAACCTGCTGTGAATTCTGTGTCCTCTTCTCTCTCTGTTCCTCCCCCATTCATTCTCTGTCTCTGTCTCTCTCAAAAAAAAAACATAGGGGCACCTGAGTGGCTCTGCTGGTTAAGCGTCCAACTCTTGGTTTCAGCTTAGGTCATCATCTCATAGTCTGTGAGTTTGAGCCCTGATTCAGGCTCTGTGCTGATAGCACAGAGCCTACCTGGGATTCTTTCTCTCCCTCTCTCTCTGCCCCTCCTCTGCTGTGTCTCTCAAAATAAATAAACTTAAAAAAATAAATAAATAAGTGGGGTGCCTGGGTGGCTCAATTGGTTGAGTATCCAACTTCGGCTCAGGTCATGATCTCACGGTCCGTGGGTTCGAGCCCCGCGTGGGGCTCCGTGCCAACAGCTCAGAGCCTGGAGCCTGCTTCGGATTCTGGGTCTCCCCCTCTCTCTACCCCTCCTCCGCTCACGCTCTGTCTCAAAAATAAACATTAAAAAAAAATTTTTTTTAAAGAAAAAATAAGTAAGTAAAAATAAAAATTAAAACATTAAAATAAAAAAGATAGGGGCGCCTGGGTGGCGCAGTCGGTTAAGCGTCCGACTTCAGCCAGGTCACGATCTCGCGGTCCGGGAGTTCGAGCCCCGCGTCAGGCTCTGGGCTGATGGCTCGGAGCCTGGAGCCTGTTTCCGATTCTGTGTCTCCCTCTCTCTCTGCCCCTCCCCCGTTCATGCTCTGTCTCTCTCTGTCCCAAAAATAAATAAACGTTGAAAAAAAAAAAATTAAAAAAAATAAATAAATAAAATAAAATAAAAAAGATAAAATAAAAGAGTAATCGTCCAGAATAGAACACTCAGAAATTCTGAGAAAGGCTTTTTCAAGAAGCTGAGAATTCTAAAATTTGATCAGACTACAAGAGATTTGCACAGTGTCAATCTAGAGTTGAATTTGTGCTAAGTCATCAAAAAATTTAGCATCTGAACAAGTATTAACTAAAAAAAAAAACATAATCATAAGTAATCATAAGGCACTTTGTGGGCTCAGCAATGAATATAGCTTGCACAGTCATAAAGTAAACCATGAATACAGAGCTAATCAAAATTATGTTATAACCATAATGGAAAATGAGGGAATAGAAAGAGTGTGCGTGCATGATAGAGCAAGAGGGTGGGAGAGCCAAATGTTCAAATCCCCAGGTGGAGAAGTGGCTAAAACTGAAAATAAAATCAACAAGTAACAAGTGTCCAAGCAAGAAGATGGTAAAAACAGAGTTGTAATTGGTGCCTCTAGAGAGCAAGCAATGAGGAACACAACTATTTTTCTTACTAAGTTTTAATAGGAACCATGTGACTCCCAATAAAAACCTTAAAATTGTACTTCTGACTATTAGAAGAGGAAATGAGACGTAAGGATGTTCAATAGTGTTTTGTTAGGTGTGGCTATTCTCTGGCATACAAACCCCCTACAGAGCTGTATACCCCATGTGTTTAGGAGAGAGAGGGAAACTACTGATGGCAGCCTGTGCCAAGCTAAGCACAGAAATGCAAGGAAATTTTAAAAGTTACTGACTACATACATCTGACTTCTTTCTAGGACTGCTAGGCAATGTGAAATTTTAAAATGCTTTGCTTTACTAATAGGTACTAAAGATTTCGAAGGGCTAGCTTCAAAACAACAAAACAAAACAAACAAACCTATGAATAAATGTGGAAATGAAATCACCTCATTATTGAATCTGCTAATTTAGGTTCCTAATAACGAAATCTCTAGGACCTAGTTTACCCCTTTTAAAAGAAACAAACCAAATCACTTACTATGCTCCTTCACTTTCAAGGACAAGAAGTGAAAGCCTCACTCTACTATCCGACAGCTTACCTGCAGAATTCTGTCCTGGGAAGCCGGTGTACGAGGTGTTCTAAGAGCGATGCTGTTGTTGGTGACATTGTACTCAGACAAAAGCGTACTGGAGGCAGAGTTTGTTATGCCAGATTCCTCAGCGGTCTGACGTGCGATTTCACTTGCTTGGCCTACTTTTACAACCTCCTGGAGTTCTGCATCTGAAATCTGAAAATCATCATACAGCAACATTTTAACCAAAGAACAATACAGCCTAAAACTTCCATATTCCAGAAAGACGAATCACTGAAGCTGTGTGATGAGTACACAGGGGTTTGCTGTACTACTTTCTTCACTATTGTGGGTTTGAAAAATTCTACAAAAAAGTTTTTAAGTCTTCCCCATATAATGTGGGGATAAATTCCATATATGATATACTATCAAGCGGCAAAGTCTTGTATTTCTATAATGAAATGCTTTCAAACCAACTACCACATCAATAAACCAAGAACATAAAATAATCACGTTTGTATACAACCATCAAAGGAGGGGGGCCTAAAAACCAATTAAAACATCAAAGTCCACTGAGCCATAAGATCCCTGAGAAAATCAAAAAGCATTATCTTAGTAATTTTACAAAAATAAGTATCCTAGGGGCATCTGGGTGGCTCAGTCGGTTAAGTGTCTGACTTCAGCTCCAGGTCATGATCTCACAATTTGTGGGTTCAAGCCCCAGGTCAGGCTCTGTACTGACAGCTCAGTCAGCTGTTCTCACTCTCAAAAACAAATAAACATAAAAAAATAATAAATTTTTAAAAAGTTAAGTATCCCAAAGAGAACTAAGAAAAAAAAATTACAGGCAAATCTCAATTTAAGAAATATCACTACTTTAGGGCGCCTGGGTGGCTCAGTTAAACAATCGACTCTTGATTTCGGCTCAGGTCATGATCTCACAGTTCGTGGGTTTGAGCCCCGTGCTGGGCTCCACACTGCGGAGCCTGCTTGAGATTCTCTCCCTCTCTGCCCCTTCCCCATTCAGGCACATGAGCACTTTCTCTCTCTCTCTCTCTCTCTCTCTCTATCAAAAGAAATAAACCTTAAAAAAAAAAAAGGGAATATCAGTACTTGGATGGCAGCATCTGACAAAATTATGTCATGTTTATGCCCAAGAATTTTGTGTTGACGTAAGTGCATCGTTTGGATAAAGAAAGAAGCTCTTCTGGCCTCCTAAGTCCATCCTTCTGCTCCATTAAACCAAACAGTCCAATTCTACAGAGCTGTACTATTCAAAATAAACCAAGAACTTTTTCAAAATTCCCATGGTTCTGACCAACTATAATTAAGTCAAAGGAAGAGAAGGCTCTTCCTTGATAAGTTGAATGATAAGCTGAACGAGGGTATGTTTCTCTCTTCACATCTCCCACATTAATTTTCACAGCTGTTGTCTCAAAAAGAGAAGTATGACACAACAAAACATGCCCTATAAGAAAGCAGCCTGAAGTCCACACAGCCAAATACCACCTGTATCCTAATCGGCTACAATAAGAGGCCGGGAGCCCTAACCTGCTCACAAATTGCTAAAAGCTGACAATTACTTACTAAACCATCACGGGGCAATTTAAGGCCAGATATAATGATTTATACAGAGAAGTTGTTACTTATCATAGTAAATCACAAGGACTTATCCTATGTGGCTCACCTATTACACTGTAAATTTCTTAAGGGCACCCAACAGCTAGCAAAAGCCTGGCATGTAGACCCTTCAAACATGTGCTAAATAAATTATAAGCATATGAGTTCACACAATAAAAAAACTGTTATTATTAGATTACCTGAGGGGCAGGGAGTACTAGTTTGCTTCTTTTTTTAGTAAATTCAGAAACACCACTAGTCTGAAGAATAGCTGATGGTAAATCAGATTCTTTTTTCCTTTTTAAATGCTGCTTGTCTTTTTTTCTGTCTCTTCCTTCTTTTTCCCTACCATGAATCAAAGCAGAGAGAGATTTTTAAAAGTTACACATAGACAATAACAGTAAAAGCCATATAAATACTCATACACTTCGAACAAAATAATCCCATTCCTAAAAATATTACTGATAAAAAGACAAAATCCAAATACATTAAGCTGTGCCCTACACCATTACTCACCCACTATACTCAAGAGGAATGCAGGCTGAGAATAGCGATAGAATTAATAAGAAGATATAGTACTAAGTAACTTACATATTAAATATTAAGCCTACATAAAGACTATGATTATAAACAAAATTTTATATATAATTTCAACAGGAAAATTAAACTATTCCTGTATCATGATTACATTCTTACAAAAGTATGTGTGTGCACTTAGGAAAATGATGGAGACAAGCATACAAAAAAACGGAAAACGGTAATACAAAGGGGATGGGATTAAAACACTGAATTTTTAAATTTCCCTTTAAAGCTGTTCTTCAATTGTTCATTATGATTCTTTTAATTCACTTGTTTTTTTAAAGGATATTTCAGTCCTGACAAATGGTTAGTCTAACGCCAGGCTCAAGGCCACCTCTGAAAGCTCCAAGAATGCCTCCTCCCAGTCTGGGTGTCAGCCTCTCCCCCATCCAGCCTGTTCCTTCCAGATGAGCTGCTCCCACTTCCACCTCTTTATTCAAACAGCCTACCTCATACAAGGTCTTAATTTGAGAAACAAATACAATGGAGTACATCCGAGAAAATCCTGTTTCATGGTGCCCGACACCTGTCATTTAGTCCCAATTCATGTCAACTGAGTGGAAAGTCAGTAGGGGAGTAGAAAACTAAAACTCTCTGACAACCATAAAAAGTTCTCCCCACAAAATTCAGATGGAAGAAATAGAAAAAACTCTAAAAATCCCTAGAAATAGGCAAAATCCTCTGCACCTTTAGACAAACATTTTATAAATACACTTACATATCCCCATAAAAAGACTTAGGTATGCATCGGTAACTTTAATTTCATTCAAAGAAAACAAGATAAAATTTTCACTAGAATAGACAAAAAACCAGACCAGATTTTGACAGATTCCTCAGTCCCTTAGTAAAATAACTAACTTGTTCACAAATGCACATCAACGTTAAGACTGTGACTCAGTGAGTAAAGACTACACTAAGAGCCAAGTGCTGACGTGTCAGGAGATGCAAACAGCCTTCTATGCCAAAGACACGACCACAAGGGTCACTGGTTTTCTCAGAAACGTGAATCCAGTAAATAAATAAAAACATTATGTAGGTCACATTGTCCTAAATAATAAAAATCTGGCTCTGACAAGGATAGCGCATGGCCCTCCATAAAATTCCTACTATACTTTTCCATTTTCAAAATCAGAAAGGCAACTTACGATCTTAGTTCCCCATCAAGATCTTGTTGTCTTAATTTTCTGAAATCTGCATCAAGAGCCTGGTAGTTTTCCTCAGAAGTATCATAGAAACCAAGAGCAGGCTTTTTTTCAAATGGGATTTCAGCATTATAATCAACTCCTCTCTTCTTTTTTCTCTTCTTCTGAATTTCTATGCCAGCTGCTCTAAGTTCTCTTCTCTTCTGGAGGGCTGCAAGACGCCTAAAGAAAAACAACACAAGATCACCCTGAAAATCACATACCATGGGGAAGGGACAGATCATCTAATAGAGTTAAGAAAACTACTTGGATATTTGGGGAAGAAATATTTATTTAAATTTTTTCTTAATGTTTTTATTTATTTTTGAGACAGAGAGAGACAGAGCATGAGCGGGGAGGGGCAGACAGAGAGGGAGACACAGAATCTGAAGCAGGCTCCAGGCTCTGAGCTGTCAGCACAGAGCCCGACGCGGGGCTCAAACTCACGGACTGTGAGATCATGACCTGAGCTGACATCGGACGCTTAACCGACTGAGCCACCCAGGCACCTCAAGAAATATTTATTTAAATCCTCACCTCACAACCATTCACCAAAATAAATTCCCCTTTTGATTTAAAGATACGCACACACAAGCAAAAAGAAAAACCAGAAAGAACTATATAAGTAAGTATGCATCTTATCTGTGGTTGGGAATTACTCACTTAATATAAATTAAATAAAAGGCAAAGGTAAATACCCAACAGCTTTGAGTTTTCAATTTTATATCTCTATAGAATTATTTTTTTTAATCATAAAACAAAAGTTAAACAGGAAAAAACATTTGTAATTTATATTGGGAACAGTTAGATATAAACAATCTATTCAGGTTTTTTTGTTTAATATATTCCAAGGGGGGGTGGGGGAGGAAACAGAAGAAAACAAATAGTTCTCTAAGGAAAAATATGCAAATAGCCAAAATGATAAAAGGTATACTTAGCTAATAATCACAAATTAAATCAAGTACCATTTCTGCAGATCTAATTAATAGTGTTCAGTTTTTTGTTTCAATGGCAAGTACACAAAAAGTGGACAGTCACCCTCAGTGGTAATGGAAAACAAATGGGTGTAGTTTCCCCAAAGAGAATTTGGAAATACACATTAAAACCCTGAAGTTTCTCACATTTTTTAACCCAATAATTTCATTCCTCAGCCTTTAGCCTAAAGAAATAAGTAACATAAACAAGGCCTTGGCTGCAAGACTTCAAGCAGCATTCATAAATAAGCTAATAACTGGACACAATCTAGACATCCAACAAGAAATTAAGAAAACGTATAGCATAGTTATAAGCTAGAATATTAGACAGCCATCTATATAACGTTTAAAAAACCTGTAATTTGCCAGGGAAAGATGCTCAAGACATACTGGTGTGTAAAACACGTTACAAAGTTTACACGCTATAGAGCAACATGTAAAAATTACATGCATATATCTATCAGTGAATATACGCTTGTAAGATGTGAAGGATGTCCAACAAAATATGAACAATAATCACTGGAGGTTAGAATTTCATTTAATCTTTACTTTTTTGTATTTTCCCATGATGCTATAATTCTAATGATATAATGACGAGAAAAGTTATTTATAATATTAAAAGGGGAAATCAGCATATAAGAACACTTTCCAGCATGAGGCTCTGCAGACCTACACCCCCAGTAAAACTGACAAAAATTAGAAAAAAAAAAAAAAAGTTTAAGTATCTGGAAAGGATCCAAAGGAGATATAGCACATGATCCCTGGGTGGCTCAGTCAATTAAATATCCGACTTTGGCTCAGGTCATTATCTCACAGTTCAGGAGTTTGAGCACCACGTCAGGCTCTCTGTTGTCAGTGCAAAGCCCACTTCAGATCCTCTGTCCCCCTCTCTCTGGCCCTCCCCTGCTTGCGCTTTTCTCTCTCTCAAAAAATAGACATTTAAAAATTTTTTCTTTTGGGGCGCCTGGGTGGCGCAGTCGGTTAAGCGTCCGACTTCAGCCAGGTCACGATCTCGCGGTCCGTGAGTTCGAGCCCCGCGTCAGGCTCTGGGCTGATGGCTCAGAGCCTGGAGCCTGTTTCCGATTCTGTGTCTCCCTCTCTCTCTGCCCCTCCCCCGTTCATGATCTGTCTCTCTCTGTCCCAAAAATAAATAAACGTTGAAAAAAAAAATTAAAAAAAAAAAAATAATAAAATAAAATAAAAAAATAAAAAAAAAAATAAAATAAAAATTTTTTCTTTTAAAAATTTTTAATGTTTATTTTTGAGACAGAGGGAGACAGAGCACAAGTCGAGGAGGGGCAGAGAGAGAGGGAGACACAATCTGAAACAGGCTCCCGGCTCTGAGCTGTCAGCACAGAGCCCAATGCAGGGCTCATACCCACAACTGTGAGATCGTGACCTGAGCCGAAGTCGGACGCTCAACCGACTGAGCCACTCAGGCGTCCCTTATTTTTTTTCTTCATGTTTACTTTATTTTTGAGAGAGAGCATGAGTGAGGAGGAGCAGAGAGAGAAACACACACACAGAATCTGAAGCAGGCTCCAGGTTCTGAGCTGTCAGCACAGAGCCCTACTGGGGGCTCAAACTCACAAACCAAGATCATGACCTGAGCCCAAGTCAGATTCTTAACCAACTGAGCCACCCAGGTGCCCCCCAAAAAATATTTTAATTAAAAAAAAAAAAAAAGAGAAAGAAAGAAAATTTGAAAGACAAGGCACCTGGGTGGCTCATCAGTTAAGCATCCAACTTTTGATTCTGGCTCACGTCATGATCTCAGTTTGTGAGATCAAGCCCCGTGTCAGGCTCCGAGCTGACAGGTCAGAGCCTGCTTGGGATTTTCCTCTCTCCCTATCCAACCCCTCAAAATAAATAAATAAACTTAAAAAAAAAAAAAGGGAAAAAAGAAAATCTGAAAGAGGGCTTCAACTACCCCCATTGTGGTATCAGTCTGTACTTTTTTAATTTTTATTTATTTTTTTAATTTACATCCAAGTTAGCATATAGTGCAACAATGATTTCAGGAGTAGATTCCTTAATGCCCCTTACCCATTAGCCCACCCCCCTCCCACAACCCCACAGTCTGTACTTTCTAATTAAGTTCTTCTTTCCAGCTTACCCCCTCAAGCAATAAGGACTGCCCCAAGCCAGTAAGACCCTGCAGGTAATGAACTCCAAGACCTTGAGTGCCAGACTCTTCCTGCCCACCTGCAAATACCCACTGACCTTTGTCCCACTTTCCTTACATAAACCAGGAAGTATTTCTGGCACTTTGGAGACAGTCTTTGAAACACCAGTCCAAGTCTTCCCGGCGTTGGCCTCACTGAAATAAATTTCTGTCTTGTTCCACCACCACTCGTCCCTCCGCCTTTGCATTTTGTCAATGGGGAGTGGCCAAATCTGGTGTGTCTGGGACCCCCCAGAGCCAGGTACTCTTGCACCCCGGCACCCCAGCTACAAATCTAGTAAAATTCATTAAAGAAAAGTGAAAGTCTATAGTATCTGAATTAAGACCCACTTCCTCATCTCCTACCCCTGTCAGCACTGGGAGATATAAACTCTACTCCACACTGGTGCAGCCAAAACCACAGGGTTCTCTCTCCCCTCCAGTTCCCAACAGGAAGGCTTTCATTACAAGAGGGGCACAACATCAGCAATTCTCATCCTGCCTCCAGATACCTGTTGCAGAGGTTAAATTCCAACAAGAGTGGCCCAGAACCAGGGCCACTTCTTTCTTGTGCCCAGACAGAGGCTCTATCTTGGACACAATGCTGCTAAGAATGCTGGGGCTCCAGGAGTCCTTGCCCTAGCTTGCGGGATGAGGCTTCCACGCTAGGAGAAGCAAGCGGAGGAGACCTAGGGCTGCTGCCCACATGGAGCACCCAAGGGTAGAAGAGAGAATGCAAATCTCCCTGCAAAAAAATTGACTTCGTTTGCAACAGAGTATGGAGAAAACGTTCAAGCCTAAAAGCACTCTCAAAAACAGTGGAACTTGTGGTAAGAGGTAACTGGGAAGAAACTGGTAGATTCACTGAAGAAAGAGACTAAACTGTTGGCCCACTAGTTTGCCAGAAAAAAATGGGAGGAGACTTCCTGGGGTCAGAGCAAATACCAAGCACTGATGTGAGAAACTATGCCTGCAACTGGGTGTTGTAAGTGACAAATGAATCACTGAATTTTACTCCTGAAACCAATATTGCACTGTATGTTAACTAAAATTTAAATTTAAAAAAGGAGGAGGAGGAGGGAGGAGGAGGGAGGAGGGGGAGGGGGAGGAGGGAGGAGGGAGGAGGAGGAGGGAGGAGGAGGGTGGAGGGGGGAGGAGGAGGAGGAGGAGGAGGAGGAGAAACAACCATCCTTTCAAAGGAGCCCAAATTTAATTGGATAGGTTTGTGGAACACTTTATGTCCCAAGACATTGTTGAAAACAATACACCAATCAGCTGGCAATTAGTAGAGCTTAAAATGTGGGTGTAGCTAGGGAAAAAGATGCCAAAAAGTGTGGTCAAAACCACACCATCCCAGGTGACTGTGGGCATACCCAAGACTGCACCCCCCATGAGGTGCAACATCAGAGACTTTGCATTCTGAGGGGGCTGCTAGGGGAGAAGAGACTTCACTAACATAACCCACACACAAGCAAATAATAAAAAGTCTGGATGGAGAGAACATAGCACCCAGAATTGCTACAATGTATGATCTAAAGTGTCCAGTTCCCAACAAAAAAAATTTGAGACCTGTGAAGAAACAGGAAAGCAAGACCCGTACGGGAGAAAAAAAGCTGGCAACAGAAACTGCCAGTGAGAGCAACTAGATGTCAGATGTAGCAGACAAACTTCAATGGACCCATTATAAATATTTCCAAAAAACAAAAAGAAACCATGATTAAAGCAGCAAAGTATGATGAAAATATTGCATCAAATAGAAAAAATCACTTAAAGATAGAAATAACTTAAAAGAACCTAGAGAGAGATGGTAAAGATTAGGCAATCCAGGAAAAAAAAAAAAAAAAAAGTAAGAACAGAGCCTCACAGAAATGCAGGGCATCATTAGGTGCACCAAAAGGAGAGAGAAAAAGAGTAAAATATTCAAAGAAATAATGGCTGAAAATTCTCCCAAATTTACCGAACCTACACATCCAGAATGCTCAACGAACTACAAGTCAGATAAAGAAATCTGCACGCAGGGGGTGCCTGGGTGGCTCAGTCGGTTAAGTGTCCGACTTCAGCCCAGGTCGTGATCTCGTGGTCCGTGAGTTTGAGCCCCGCGTCAGGCTCTGTGCTGACAGCTCAGAGCCTGGAGCCTGTTTCCGATTCTGTGTCTCCCTCTCTCTGACCCTCCCCCGTTCATGCTCTGTCTCTCTCTGTCTCAAAAATAAATAAACGTTAAAAAAAAAAAAAATTAAAAAAAAAAAGAAATCTGCACACAGAAACATCATGCTAAAAATGTTCAAAGCCAAGGGAACTCCAGTAAGGTTAACAGCTAACATCTCATCAAAACAACATGTAACAATATCCCATTTTATACAAATATTACTGTGTGTATATGTAGACATAAATGTACCTCTGTATTGAAAGGCTTGCAAAGACACACATTTCAAAAATAAAGTTATTTCATTCTTTTTTTTTTTTTAATGTTTATTTATTTGGAGAGAAAGAGAGCTGGGGAGGGACAGAGAGAGAAGAGAGAGAGAAGAATCCCAAGCAGCCTCTGTGCTGTTAGCACAGAACCAGACATGGGGCTCAATCCCATTAACCATGAGATCATGATCTGAGCCGAAACCAGGAGTCAGACACTTAATCGACTGAGCCACCCAGGCGCACCAATAATTTCATTCTTTAAATAAAGGAAATAAAGACTTCAAATGACATCAGAAATGCTTTCACTAAGTGAATATAACCAAGCTAATAGCATCATATCAACCTCAAAAAGAAAATAGTGCAATACCGGAGGAAAAACGTATTACATTTATAATCAATAAAAAGCTTTAATGGGAATGCAAGCTGGTGCAGCCACTCTGGAAAACAGTATGGAGGTTCCTCAAAAAACTAAAACCTACAACCCAGCAATTGCACTACTAGGTATTTATCCAAGGGATACAGGTGTGCTGTTTCGAAGGGACACATGCACCTCAATGTTTATAGCAGCACTACTGACAATAGCCAAAGTATGGAAAGAGCCCAAATCTCCATCAACAAATGAATGCATAAAGAAAATACAGTATATGTATACAATGGAGTTTTACTCAGCAATCAAAAAGAATGAAATCTTGCCATTTGCAACTACATGGATGGAACTGGAGGGTATGATGCTAAGTGAAATTAGTCAGTCAGAGAAAGACAAATATCATATGACTTCACTCATATGAGGACTTTAAGAGACAAAACAGATGAACATAAGGGAAGGGAAACAAAAATAATACAAAAACAGGGAGGGGAACAAAACAGAAGAGACTCATAAATATGGAGAACAAACTGAGGTTTACGGGAGGGGTGGTGGGAAGGGGGATGGGCTACATGGGTCAGGGGCACTAAGGAATCTACTCCTGAAATCATTGTTGCACTAGATGCTAACTGATTTGGATGTAAATTTTAAAAAATTAAAAATAAAATTAAAATTAAAAAAAAAAAAGCTTTAAAACACATCTGTAATTTAGCATTAAAGAAATAGTCCTGCAATATATTTTACATACAGACCAATCTGGTCTATTACAAGACATATGTACAAGTTAAGACACACAGATTCTATAAGAAAATCTACAAGATAGACCAGAGAAAATTTAAATCTGTAAAACAGTATTTAAAGCAAGCAATACCACTTATACTTAGAGAAGCATCCTTAGCCATCCATGGTTAAAAGGCTCAAAATTATTTGGTCTCCAAACAACAATGGACGAAAATGGAAAAGTGAATTTTTTTCAACCCTACTCACATTATTTAACCCTAAATAGTGTACAAAATACAAAAATGACTGAAACTGGGCAGAAAATTGAGTATCTCCTCTTCGTTTCTGTTTATTGTTCCAGGCCATTCATACTTCCATTAAGTAACTATTCTGGACTAGTGGCTGGCCAGCTTAGCTATGCCAAGAAGCATCCTCAGGTATGAAAGAATCCTCCACCCCAAGATCTGGCACTTCAAAGTCACTACTGGGGAAACCATCAACATAATGCTAGTCATCAGGTCAGGAAGGACTTCCTAGTGTGGGGACCAAAAACGGCAGCTGTGTAGGCTAGGAAGGTCACCCCAGTACCCAAATTCCAAAAGCTAATAAGCTCTTAGACAATTCAGATTTTCCCTTTAACCATTTCATGGTTTCTGGGCCATAGGAAATGAGCTCAATCATAGATCTAACCAAAAGGAAAAAGGAAGGGGAAAGTGGAGAAAACCTCGAGCAGACGGCAATGATACCACTCACTTTTTAAACAAAAATTTCTAGAAGGGCCTAAAATTTGGTTCAAGGCTCATTAACTCCCTCTACATTCAGCCAAGTTTCTTATTTTACAGCCAATACCTGCACAATACTAATCAAGGAGAGTAAGTAACAGTCACATAGCCTTGTATGTCCTCTAGCCATATGACTCCAAGATGCCTACAACAAATGAAGCTCTCCTATGTTAACAGAACAAATCCAACATAATCAAGCGATCACCTGGGCGTCACTTCTGCCAACATCTTTTACTTCTTACAACATCTCTTTAAAGACGTATTTTTTTTTCTGTATCTATTCTATGATGGTTAGGGAGAAAAAAATAAGATTTTTCCAAAGTATAAGGGTGTCTGGCTGGCTCAGAAGAGAAAGTATGCAACTCTTGATCTCAGGGTTATGGATTCAAGCCCCATGCAAGGTGTACATATTACTAAAAAAATAAACTTAAAAAAAAAAAAAAAAAACTTCTCCAAAGTATAAAGGAACTAAAGAGTATTAGCAAAACTGGAATCGGACAATTCTAATTATTAACCAACAGAGTTGACAGATCACAGTTTTATGGGGTCTAAGGATGCACAAACTAATTGTTCAACTACGGATGGAAACAACTATACCTTGCTTCTTCCAACTGTTTCTCTCTTGCTTTCCTCTTGGCTTTCTTTCCCTGAGTATTTGCCAAGCGGGCTCTAGCTTCAGAAAGCATCTCAAGTTCATCTGCAAAAATAGAGAAGAAAAACTAAGTTCTTCAACAGAAGTATGGTATGTGAGAGATATACTATAGTACTTAAGAAGAGAAAAACCATAAATATAATCATTACATGGTGTTGTATGGGTTTTGAAGTCGGAGAAACCGAAGTTAAAAACCAGGCCCACCACTTGCTAGCTCTGTGACCCTGGATAACTTATTTACCCTCCCTGAGCATGTTGCATCATCTATAAAAAGGGAATAACAAGTCTTATTTCACAGGAATGTTGAGAAGAGCTAAGTAAAATATAATAGGTAAAGCATCAAAAAGTATTCATTAAATAGTAGCTATAATTACCATATCTCTCATTATCATCAATTAACTGACACAGCACCAATCGTAACTACTGTAAAAACTACTATTTAATTATAAGGAAACAGATACTCTATTAAACAAACCTTTTTTTCCTCAGAAAAGGTTCTTTTCTCCCCTCCAATACATTTCCACGGCTCCCAAAATAGAATAAATTTCATTACTGATGCCTTACAGCAATTCCTGTATAAGGTTGTTGAGTGGAATCACAACTTTTTTTTTTTTTTTTTTTTAACAAGATAACTTTTTAAAAAACTCAGATCCCAAGATTACCCACTCCATGCTGCAGCTTACTGACTCAGATCTCCCGGGGAGACCCTGGTACTTGTATTTTTAGAAGGTCACCACATAACAATGATGCAGGTAGGAACCACTACTTTTAAACTTCTAAATTTTAAAATTTCAACAAACATTCACTGAACACTTCACAACATCTCTGTTGAGGTAAGATAGCTATCATTATTCTCTATCTAGCAGGAAAGAGAATCAAATCTCAGAAGGATTATGATCTTGCCTAAGATCAATAGCTAATAAGTGGCAGGCAGGAGACTAAAATCCAGTTCCTCTGATTCTCGATTCAGTGTCTGAAGAAGGCAACATGAGTCTGCCTCCTAGTACTGCACTGCTGCCTTACTACAAAGATTAAATTACCTGCCTGAAGTCAAAATAGTTAACAGGACTGAACTCCAAATCCTGTCGTGGTGCCTCTCTCCACAGAATGGGAAGGAGAAAACAGAACTCTCAAGGGCTTACAACTAGCCTTTAGGGAATCTGTCCAGTAGTATTACGCTGCTTAATTTATTAAATGAAATGAAAAATCAAAAAATAAAGAGACACTGTCCAGAAAGAACAATTACTCTATAATAGAAGACTGGACACAATTAGAAAGAGAGAATAACAACTGCAGACAGAACTGGGGTTCTAAAAAGTCGGAGGAGCTTAGAAAGAAAACTCAAAGAGTTAAAAAGAGGCCTGAGGACTCTATGGTTACCAAAGAAATAAAGTCCTCAGAAGCACGCACTCACCCTCATCCATATCAATCGGATCAGGCCGTGCTGGTTTTGTTTCTGGATTTGGATCTATTTCCCCAGGTTTAAGTTTTCGTGGATCATCTGTCGTTTCCTCTTCATTGTCTCTTTGTGCAGCTTTATCCCTAGAAAAAAGCCCATAAAAGTCACACTATCACACCATTCAGTCTTAAGAAATACCAGGTTTCCTAGCACTGGCACTCTTTTCTTCCAAAAACCCAACAGATGGACATTCACAAAATAAAGTGATTCTACTTTAGAGATGGCATTCAAATTCTAATTTCAATGAGTGTTCCATTCACTATGAAACAGAACCCAAGGAGCTCCTTAATCACAAATGCAATAAAGTCATACAAAAAAAAAAAAAAAAACAACTTTTCGTGAAGAACCAAGATGTTCTGGTTCACTCTTAGCAATATAATTACGGGTGTAATTATGGGTGATTATTAGCTTTTTTACCATTTTTTCCCTAATTTTCTAAAAAAATAGAGTATGTATGATTATATAATTTTAAGTTACTCTTTTAAAAAGCATGTAACAAGTATGTAATATTATCAATAACATGAGACTTAAGAGTATATATTCCGATAGCTTTAGCTCCTTTGGCTTTACTCAGATCTGTAACTGAATGTTTAAACACAGAAAATGCTAAACGCTTATTCAGCCTCATTCAGGAGATATACATACATTTTAATACTGATTTGGAAATTCACTTACAAAAGAAATTCATAGTGTTCCAAGCACTGGGCAGCTGTTCTTCCAATGATTGGCGCAATGGTCCTCCACTGAGTTGGCATCAACTTGGCCAAGTGCAATAGTTTTTCCTCTTCTTCTCGGGACCATTCTGTTTTCTTAATGCTTGGATCTAGCCACTCATACCTATTAAAATGATACCATTTGATACATTCATTAGTCACCCGGCACGAATATCCTATTTACACATTAGATATACTAACTTCTGGTGTCTCAAAAACACAAGCTAACTCTCACCCTTCAATTACAAAAGCTGTTCTTTTTAACACTATTTGGTTAACTTTACCCCATTTACTATTCCCTATCTCACTGACTTCTACTGTTTTTTTTAATTATGCAAGACTAGTAATGCTTGAAAAAGGTACCCTAACTGAAACATGATCATATGCCTTCTTTCTCTACTATCAATTGTTTTCGTTTATTTTACACTTTATTAGAGGTTTTGAAATGACCTGAAATAAGACAGTACCACCTCACATTTTTAGTGTTTCTAGTTTTCATAGTACTTTCTCACACTTTTTTTTATTTATTTAAGTAATCTCTACACCCAACATGGGGTTCAAACTCCCAACCCCAAGATCATGAGTCACATGCTCTTCCACCTGAGCCAGCCAGGTGCCCCTCTCCTACTTTGATTCAATTCTCACAATACCTTGGCTTACTTTAAGTATCTGACTTATACTCACTAAATGCTTCCCAATATCATGATTTTGGAGTTTTTTAATTTAAGTAAAACTACTATGCCATCCTCTATCTTTCCTATTGCCCAACCCAACCCACCTTTTCCATCCAGTCTACTTAGCTGCAATTAAGATACAAGCCTTACTAAATATTGGGGCAGGAGCTTAGCTCCACTAAGACAAGCAGAAATCCAAACTTCTTCAGGCTGAGGACAATCTTCCTCTTTGGGATCCAATCTCTACATTCTGATCCTTTCTCCCACCCAGGTGCCTAGGAAATGAAATCACTCTTGTACAATCCAAAATATGATCTTAGTACCACATGGGTCAAGGCTGGGGCCAGATCACTCATGCCAAGAGCTTAATGTGTCCACTACCCTGTGACTTAAAAGGAGACACCACAGGTGCAGTGTTGAGTTAAGTTATATTTTGGGATAGCAAATACACAATATTTCAACCGTGTTGATGAAGAAAACTCACTACTGTGAGCTAGCCTAGAAAACTAACCATTATTTATCATTAATTTCTTTGAGAAAGTAAGTTCTAAATCAACTTACAAATTTTTGGAACACAATCCACTTACAAGCTGGGGTCCATCAATACTAAAAGTAAATTTATTTTATGCTTAACAAAACACTCTCAAGCACATTAACTCATCTGTACCTCGTATCTCCATCAGTTAGTAAGGATTATTATCCCCAATTGGGAGAAAACAGAGACAGGAAAGAGGGTATAAAAAAAATGCCTTGCCTAAGATCACACAGGAAGCAAGTGACAGCTAAGGCTTAAATCTGAATTCCCATCTCCCACTCCATACTTTCTGTTGTATCACACTGCCTGCTTTCTTTGGCAAGGTTCAAAGAACTGACATTTTCCTCATCATAATTAAGGTCGCTTTCTGTTTTCTACTCATTAAGTGGTACATACCATCTGGCTTTGCACTGCTTTGCTGATTTTCTATGCAGCAGTGAGGCAATCCTAGACCACTGGTTTTTTCCATATTTCATTACTGCTGCTTTCAGAATTTCATCCTAAAAAAATTGTCAAGGAAAAACAATATATTCAATCACAAAATTCCAAGTGAGAACAGACAAAATTTCTCCCTAGGATTGATAGGCAGAAAAGTCATAAACACACACACACACACACACACACACACCAAGGTCTGGAAAAAAATACAAAAATTTCATTTACTATAACAAACAACAAGCCAGAATTGGCAAAATGCAAAATATTAAGAAGAAATCCCTCCGAAGGACATCCTACCCTCCCTAATACACAACCTCCCCACCCTAATAAATTGGGAATGAGTACAGCCCAATCTGAGAAACACTACCTGGCAGTGATTAACAAAAAGTACTCTCCAACGTTTGGCTGTCATTCTCAAAAGGATACAGCTCCATCATTTATTCATTCACTCAAAAAACATTTCCTATTTCCTGTACTAGGTCTTCCATACTTCAGAAAAGAGAATGAAATAGGTCTCATCCAGCCTTTAAGAAGCAAAGCAAGACTCTGGGAATCCATTCTCCACTCCAGTTTACAAATGTCATTTTCTCTCCAGTCCCATAACCCCTGCTCTGACCCAAGAATCCACAGGTGTAACTCAAGAATTAAGTATTTTTCCCCTACTACACCAGTCAGCTCTTCTTCTAGCCTTTAGTTATTGTTTCACCAGGGCACCCATTCTGATTTGGAATTCACTACTCCCAGGGGAGTCCAGAAAGCTAAGCCATAGATAGACACCAAGGATAACAGAGCGACAGATGAACACACTTGGGCATCTCACTTTTAGGCTTTTTTCCACATTGAACTTGTGATACATGCCTCATATATGAGCCACTCCACCCCATCCCACCCCCTACCTCATCATCAGAGATTTAAAAAGACTGCAGGGCTTTGGCCACTACACAGGAATCCTGCTGTTACTTGATTTTGTACATCTGTCTCTCCCCCAGAAGTCATCTCTTCTCCAATTTAAACAGCCTGGTTCCCTCTGTACAAACTGTGAGACAAGGTTGTCACTGATTTTATGTGTCACTTTGTTATAATATGCATCTTGAAGTAAAAACAAATAGCAACTGTCCACCCTACTAGATTCATTCTGCAACCATTTGCCAAAAAGATTATTTCATGGTGGTTACTGTCCGAGGTTCTAGGGATTCCAAGACCTGGTTCTCTTGCAGTGCTGTCTGCTGGGGAAAAGCAATGTCAACTAGCACTTACTGAAAGACTACTATGTGCCAGACTCTATTCTAAATGTTGATTCATTTAATCTATAAAAGAAGATTACTGTTACTATTATCATCCCCAGTAGAAAACTGAGGCTCTGAAAGGTTAAGAAACTTATCAGCATCACACAGAAGAATATGATGCTTGCAAAAAGATAAAACATGCTATATCAGATGGATGAAAGATGTACCATGGGGCCACTTATTTTTACAGGGTGATAGGGCAAAAATTCAAGAGTTTCTGAACTGGGTTTTGAAGGATGGTCAGAAAGATGTCAAGCAGTAGGGCATTCTGAGAGGGCACAAGCAGTAAAAAGACACAACATAAAAAGATAAGATGTGCTCCTGAAACTGAAAGTTCAGTGCACTATGAACACAAAATGCATCAAAATCTTACTTGTATTTTACTTTTTCTCTACTGCCCTTTAGCTAGCCATTGGCATTATCCATTGCGTTTCTGAAGCAAAGAGACTACTGCAGGTAGTTTGTCCTATCTGGTTTCTATCCTGGCTGAGGCGGAGGGACAGGAAGAGACAGGCCTTGGGATCCGTCGTGAGGACAAACAAGTTATGCCTTGATAAGAGATAACAAGAGGGATGCGGGCATACACGGGCCCTGAACTTGGCACTCAAGCTGCTTCCCCTCCGCAAGGAAGTCAATGAAGGAACAAAGTTGTGGCCACAGCACTTCTCTATATTTTATCAGAGAAGCACAATGCCCAGGCTGACGGACGGGGGGTGTGCCAGATAACCAACTCTCCCAGAAGTCCTATCCCGCCCCTTCTACACAGTGAGCTCCTCCATGGCAGGGGCGCGTCCTCAATTCAACAAATATTCACTTAGGGCCTAACAAGTGCCTGGCACGTCAAGTGATTAAATCACGGTCCCTGTCCTTGAGGTGCTCTGATGACTCAAGGCCGAACGTCAAGTTAAGACCTCGAGGGTCCGCCCCGCGCTGCACCCCGCCCCCCGCACCGCGCCCACGTAGACCCCGCAGGGTAGCCTCCTCGCCTCCCCGACCTCCGCGCGCGTGCGCACAGGCCGCCGGAGGGGGCGGAGGGCAGCGGACGGCGGGAAAGGGGGACTTACCTCGGTATTCCTCCACACACCCCCCTTGATCATAATTCGAGGCATCTTGGCTGCGGGGTGTCTCGGCAAGCGGCCGAGAGGAGCTTCACAGAAGTAGTAACGGCGCTACGGCCACGGGACCTGAAGCCGACACTTCCTCCAAGCGCGACCTTCTGGCTTGAAGAGATGTGCGCAGGCGCAAGGTGGGGGGCGGGGGGAGCAGAGTAGCAAGTCTCGCGAGAACCGAGGCTGCTGAAAGGACTAAGTGCCTTGTTGTTATAGCTCTGGTCTAGGAAGACTGACAGAAACCCATCAAGCCCCTCTGGCTAAAGCGCTCTACGCCCCGCGCATGTCCAGAACAGGTTGGAGGAAACCACGACTCTCGCGAGATACCGCCGGTGGCTCTTAGTAAGCAAGGTTGTGGTGGGATTGATCGTGAGGTCACCTAGTGGCGGAGAAAGGGAACATCACGCGTGCAGAATTAGCCAGCTGGTTTAGGAAGAGCTTTGTTAACTTATTAATTTAGCATTTTATTAGGTATGTAACTAATAGGAATTTACTCGCGGAATACTCAGGAAAAGGATATAATTTAACCCTAATTTTTTTTTTAAGTTTATTTTGAGAGCGTGGGCTCGTGAGCGAGGGAGGGGCAGAGAGAGAGAAAGAGAGAGAGAAAGAGGGAGAGAGAATCCCAGACAGCCTCCGCGCTGTCAGTGCAGAGTCCAGCGCCAGGCTCAAACTGAAGAACAAGGATATCATGACCTGAGCTGAAATCAAGAGTGGGAGGCTTAACCAACTGAGCCGCCCAGGCATCCGTAACCCTAAATTTTTTAAGCTGTAAAATAGGGATAATAGTATAGCAACCTCATAGGGTCATCCTAAGGATTCAATGAGATCATAAACCTAGGCCAGTATCTGATATATATAACTACCCCTAAAAGTGGCAGCTGTTATTACAAGAAAGGCAACTTGAGATGATCGGTGATTGTCCCAGAAACCCACAAAAATATCTCATCAGTTTTTCATATATTTCTACTCAATCTATGTGGATTAATAATAAAGTGTTACCATTGATAGGCACTGGTATTAGACAAACTGAGGTTGGATTGAAATCTTCGCTCTCTCATTACCTTGGGTAATAACCTTGCTGAATCTCAGTATCCTCATCTAAAAAGTGGAGTTAACAATACCTACCTACATAAATTTGGGTGGCAAATTAATTGATACATACCTAAAAACCCAATGAGGTAGAGCTTGTCAAAATGCCATTCCAGCACCCAGGGACTCACTCAGTGTCTACAATTTCTACGATGTAAGTCATGCCCCCTAAGGGCATGCATTATACAACCTGCCCATTGGGACAGAGCAACCCTGTCAAAATGTCCCCCAAGACACCCTTGAACATGCAGACTGCATGTCTCACTTAAGGATTCAGAAAATGCAACATCATGCCACTTCCATAATGTCTAAAACGAAACCCAATAGCCATGAACACAAGAGACTGTCCTCCGACGTCACATGCACTGGCCAAACCCCCACAGTATCACCCAAGCCCACCAGTTTGTGGTTTGTTACAGCATCCCTAGGAAACAAAAAAGCTCCCTTTTTAATATAACATTTCCAAACAAAGTTGACCCTGGAAACATTTTTTCTTATGCTATCTATTGGTATTTAAGAAACACAATTTGAGAAACTCTGGCCCAGGAAAAAGAAATTGCCTGCCTCACTCAGTCAGTGGAGCATGTGACACTCGATCACAGGATGGTGAGTTCAAGCCCCATGTTGGGTGTAGAGAATACTTAAAAATAAAATCTTTCTTAAAGGCCGGGGGTTGGGGGCTGGCACCTGGGTGGCTTAGTTCGTTGAGCATCAGACTTCAGCTCAGGTCACGGTCTCACGGTTCGTGGGTTCAAGCCCTGCATCAGGCTTTGCACTGACAGTGTGGAGCCTGCATCAGATTCTGTGTCTCCCTCTCTCTCTGCTCCTCCCCCCCCCAATAATAAACATTAAAAGTATTTTTTTTTTAATTTTTTTTTCAACGTTTATTTATTTTTGGGACAGAGAGAGACCGAGCATGAATGGGGGAGGGGCAGAGAGAGAGGGAGACACAGAATCAGAAACAGGCTCCAGGCTCTGAGCCATCAGCCCAGAGCCTGACGCGGGGCTCGAACTCACGGACCGCGAGATCGTGACCTGGCTGAAGTCGGACGCTTAACCGACTGCGCCACCCAGGCGCCCCTAAAAGTATTTTTTTAAGAAGTTGGCAGTCCATCCAGCTTACAAAGGAGTAACAGGGATGTTAGCAGGAGGGTTTGTAGGTTGCAATGTCCCCCATTTCTCCACCTCTCATTCCTTTCTGAGGAACCGGTTCTGACTGGGTTAACTTTGCTTAGCCAAGAAAACAATCGAAATTCTAGTTTCCTCCTTGTCCAGTTTTTACCATCAAATTGTGCAGGAAAAGGGCTAAAGTTAGGGTCAGAAGCCTGTGACAATACCAAGACATTGGGGGCTGGGGTTATAATCTTCATCATCTCCCCAAATAAGCAGATGGAATTTCAGTAGAAACACTGTGCTGCTTTGCAAATACAATTTCAAGACCTCTAGGCCTGCCCTGTCTACTGGATTGCTACCCCTAAGCCTTTCCCTTCCATTTAGAAACCCTTCAGCTAATGTTGGAAAAAGCTAATGTCTGGGTAGACATGAAATTCCACGCACCCTAAGTGCTGGTAATTCATACCGTAATGCTAACCATGGTTAATCATCTAAGTTGGCTTGGGGATGCCTGGGTGGCTCAGTCAGTTAACCTTCGGTCTCTTGATTTCTGCTCAGGTCATGATCTCACAATTCGATTCTTTAGTTTGAGCCATGCATCAGGCTCTGTGCCGACAGTGCAAAGCCTGCTTGAGATTCTCTCTCTCCCCCTCTGTCTCTGCCCCTCCCCCACCTCAAAATAAACTTTTTTTTTTTAATATGAAATTTATTGTCAAATTGGTTTCCGTACAACACCCAGTGCTCATCCCAACAGGTGCCCTCCTCGATGCCCACCACCCATTTCCCCCTCCCTCCTACCCCCCTAAATAAACTTAAAAAAAAAACCAAAATAAATAGTTTGGGTTTCGCCTACTGACGCTTCTTCATGGTGGACCCAGTTGTAGTTTGTAGTCTTTTTCTCAGGTGCTCATATTCATTATTTCTAGGGAGTCCCCTAAGCCCTGGGGTGGCAAAGTGTTCCCAAAGAGGATTTGGGTTTTTTTCTCAGGCCACAGAGTTTCAGAGCTCTCTTTGAGCGCCTATCTTGGTTTGGGATCAATATTCTGATCAGGTTATTTATTATCTAGACCCTGCATCCACATGGCACTGGCTTGAGATTCATATTTCTCACAGGAGCCTTTTTTCTACATTCACGTACCAGTCCCCAGCTGCATATACCCAACTACATCCCAAACAATTCCACTCTGTGTGTGTCACAGTTTCCTCAAATTCAACTTCCCAAAATTGAGCTCCCCCTAGACGACTTCCCCAGCATTCTCTATTTCACCAAATAGCACAGGGCTGCCGTGTATGGTTGTGTAAGTAGTTCACTGCACAGGGACAGAAGGGGGCTGAAATCTAGCTGGCACACTGCTTACCAGGCAATGCATCCATACGACTATCTCCACCAAGAGGGCATCTTTCCCTAAGTGTATAAAGACACCATGTGCTGCCCTGGCAAGGGCACCACCAGCCACCTTGTTGCTACTTGTCCTTTTCCCATACCTTCCCCCTACCCATATCCAAGTCTTTTTACCTCCTAGTTAGCCCTCAAATCCATCTCCTTTGTGCCACTTCTGTAAGTTGCCAGATTTAGCAAATAAAAATACAGAACTCCCAGTTAAACTTCAATTTCAAGTAAAAACAAAACAAAACATATTTTTAGTATAATTATGCCTCATGGGTCCATTCCGTCCTCTCTAGGAGGACCCCGCGTGTTACACCAACCCACACTGTACCCAAACAAAAAAACACGTTTCTAACCAGATGATCATAGCCACGCTCACACCATCACCACTAAAAGCTGCCCCCACACCATTTTTATATTTGGTGGAAACCAACACATTTCCTCAGAAAACAAGTTATGGGGGGGCGCCTGGGTGGCGCAGTCGGTTAAGTGTCCGACTTCAGCCAGGTCACGATCTCGCGGTCTGGGAGTTCGAGCCCCGCATCAGGCTCTGGGCGGATGGCTCAGAGCCTGGAGCCTGTTTCTGATTATATGTCTCCCTCTCTCTCTGCCCCTCCCCCGTTCATGCTCTGTCTCTCTCTGTCCCAAAAATAAATAAACGTTGAAAAAAAAAATTTTTTTAAAGAAAACAAGTTATGGGGTGGGGAGTGGTTCAGTTGGTTGAGCGTCAGACTCTTGATTTTGGCTCAGGTATTGGTTTTGGCTCAGATCATGATGCCAGGGTCGTGGGATCAAGCCCCACATCGGATTCCACACCGAATGTGAAGCCTACTTAAGACTCTCTCACTTTCTCCCTCTGTCCCTCGCCCCCACTCAGTCTTTCTCTCTAAATTAAATTAAATTAAATTGAAACAAGTCATTGGTATATTTGGCTTCTCTTCGGATATGAGGCTGGGCCTCCTCCCCCATGCACATTAAGAAATGTTTACTTTTCATATTAGTATTTCTTACAAGGTCCGGGTTTCAGAGCCTCAGTGTTGGTTCCTCAAGTCGGTAGTGGCGCCCCCATCTCCAGGGAGGGTTCGGGCCATAACCCTTCCTAGAGTTGCCCAGCATCAGAAAGACACCACATGGGTTCCCACATCCTTTCCCAGAGCCCACAGGGAACTTGGCCAGTAGACCCCCTGCAAGTGCCCCATCTACATCAGGCCCATTGCTCAGTTTCAGGTCAAGGTATCACTGTGTCCTGATTTTCCAGCCGAGAAAGAAAAGCCTCTCCATCAGTAGCATGATCTGGAGGAGCTCCAGCACTGATATATTTCAGCAAGAAATCCTATACACAAGGCTTCTATCTGCCCAGCTTTTAAGGGTCAAAGGCTTAAGAGCAAAAGGAAACAGTCTAACCAAATTGGGTAGCTCATACCAGAAATGTGGACAATTAATGAAATTATACAGAATATTCATAACCCGTTTGTGGAACTGTAAAAGTTTAACATCCAAATATCTTAACATTTTGATGACTAGGAGTGCAGAGACTATAGAAACAGTCTTGGAATTGTCTTCATTTAGCTTATTTGGACTTGAATGTCACCAGCTGTATAACATAATATTCCCTCCAGTCCACAGAGGCTAGTTTTCATTCTTCCCAGGATCTGAAATTAGAA